ATTAATATTATTATGTTAAATAAACACCTTTATTTTTTAACTACAACCTTATGTACGTTTCGGATGCTTTACAGCAACAGGTCCCTCTGTGATTGATTAAATAAGGTATATACTGTCTATAGTTTACGCGAGTAGTACACATTTAAATAAAACACTTTAACGGTTTAAAACCCCGTTCACGCGGAGACACGGCTGCTACAAAACATCCGAAACGTCAAGCCGAAGTTAAAAATCATTTCCAAATAAGTTTATTAATATATCGCGTTTTAAACCGTTAAAGTGTTTTATTTAAATAAATAAGGTATTTTCCGTTTTAATTGTTTTTAAATAGTTATTTTCTTTATGTTTCACTTGTTTAAATAAAGTTGTTGAAAGTAATTGTTCAATATAAATTAAATATGTATACTACAAAAAATACTTCATAATTTTTTTCCATTTCATCAGGAAGGAAATTATAATAAAACTCCTATTAAATACTAACTGTAGTTTACGCAAGTAATATAACATTTAAATAAAACACTTTTAACGGTTTAAAATACAAAATAACGCCACCATGGTTGTGTAAAAAATCCAAAATATTGGGCCGTAGTGGAATTAAATTAAAAATAAGTTAAGTAATATATTTTGAGAATTTAAACCGTTAAAAGTATAGTATTTTAACACCCCGTCCAATACACGTTCACACTATTGTATGAATATTCTATTGTTTTATAGCATAGTAGACTAGCAGTATAACCGTAGTACATAATAAATACACAAAAAAATCTTCCATTTTAAAAATAAGATAAAACACCGACCGCTTCCCGTTTACCCTTTTACCGCTGGAAATTCAGAAACATCCCTATCACGGACAAAATCGTAATTAGATTCAAAATAAATTTATACCTATTTGTGTATACAAATTGTACTATCATATTTTATCTCTTTCCTCTGCATCACTGCCACAATTAGAAATTATTTAAACACTCTTACTTTTGTTAGTACTAATATGAGGCCGCTAGAGGCAGAGTAGCCTAACTGTTATTTTAAGACTTGACTTATATATATTTTTATAATCGAAAAATGTTAATCTACCAGAGCACAATTAGTGAGAATTGTTAACATAATTCTAACACAAATAATAAAACAAACTCATTTTCGCCTAAGTTGATTGTGCATTTTTATTTTCACTCCTTATCATGTTTTTTGTTATTAGGCCACTCTGGCCTAATAAAAAAATATAACCTCAATATGGACGTAGAAGTTTCTTTGAAAATTTGCATGAATAAATACATCACTCGCAGTTATTGAAAGTTGCTGATTTGCACGGAGGAAGTAAAGAAACTTCACCGTCTGCGGTCATGTAACTCATGTTGCTCCGGGCTAGTTTATGTGACAATTGGCGTGGCGATGAACTGGAAATCTAGAAACTTCCAGCAAAAGCATTTCGCAGAACTAGTAACAAATTGAAGTGCGGTGAAACTCACCAATAATCATACACTAGGTAAGTTTCTAGCAAACGTGGAAGTTCATTGGAGTTGGGGTTGATAGTAATTCACTTTAGTAGCGCGGTCAGAGCCCTTATTCTGGTGTTCACGGGCTGTGAGAAACACGTGACAATGTGGGGGACAAGGTATGTAAAGATAAAATAAACATAAAAAGCTAGAGAGAAGAGAATGTTGCAACTTTTGACGGATTTGTTGGTGTAATGGTAGCAATGTACGGCTTATAATCAACGTGTTATGGGTTAGATGTCTACCTGATTCAGCACCTTTCTAACGAATTTATAATTTATCTGAAATATGTTGGACTTCGTCTGGAAATCCGGATATTAAATGGATGGTAGGAGTATCGGAATTCCGTCCGGGTCACGAACCACCGTCTACAGATGAAAAAGCCGTGAAGTTTAATCACATTTCGGTTCAGTCTATGGACTTTCGTATAGGCTGGGATACTTCAACTACCATCAATTGAACCCCATGTCCTCCTCATTCTTTAAAAAAACTCTGATAATCGATTGGGTTAGTGGAATACGAAATAATACAAGTCGGGCTTCGAGGCAATCGAGAGGCAAGTGTTAATATCAGAATCAGGCATCAGAACGTAAATGAACAGTACAGTCCGCTAACCCGCAATGTATGCCCTTCAGGAACCGCACTTATTTTATCGTTTAAAACACGTGTAAATAAATTCACACGAAAGCTTTTGGTGGCTCGTGATTTATTGCGTCATTAAAGTGTAATTTAATTGTGTACCTGCGTTACATGTGCGTTACATTCTGATCGTAACTTAAAGAGATTTAAATAACGGTCCAAATATATATAAGCGAAAGTTTCATTAATCGTTAACTTCTTTATAATTTATATTTACTACGGCGCGATGTTTCGCAGCAGCCATGACTACAGACTGTGCCCGCCGTGACCGCGGATGCTGCTAATATATTTCGTGTTTTATACCGTTTAAAAGTGTGAATATTTAATGTTGTTTTTTATGACAAATAAATGCACGTAATGGAAACTTTCAGACGTTTTATTCAGACATATTATGGCTTAGGACATTTGGAACATATACTCAAAGAGATGAATATTAAACGTCAGTCGGTACGTTAATCCAAATTCCTAGTTAGCGAACACAATACGTAACGCTAAGGACGGACTCAGACAAACAGTTATATAGATTGAACAAAATCCAATTATTCCCTTTTGAATATTCTATGACTCATCCGGCAAAAAGCTAATCCGTTGAATAATGGGGTTATAGATATCACGCTGAAACAGGCGTGACAGAAAAATGCGCCAATTGTCGAAATCTATACGTTTTAGGGATTAATAAATGGGAACAAATTACGTCTCGGCTTTCAGAATATTGAAATTGATTCATTGATCCGAGACGGATAATAACGGTTAGATAGAGAACAGGTGAGCCCTAATATATGGCTCCGAGGTTAAAGGCGTATGAATTATGGACATCTAATTTTCTTAGGTCGAATTGGCGTATAGTGGCTGCAAACTTTATTATATGTTCCAATATGTAAATGAATGTAAGAACTTATATAAATTGAATACTGTCTTCACGCGAAACGCATTTAAATAAAAAACTTGAACGGTTTCAAACGTCTAAATATAAAACATCTTTGATTAGACGGCTGCAGTAAGGTTGTATAAACGTCGAGTCGAGTCGTAGTTAAAATAATTCGAAATTTAAACCGTTTAATGTATTACATTCAATATACAAAACAAAAACGAAAAAAATGCTTTATTGTCACAACAGGATACTAAAAATATAAGATTTAATTTTAAGAAATAACAAAAAAAGTGTAGCGAGAAACGGCGCCCTTTTCGCTTAAACGATTTCTTTGAGGCAACCTAGATAATGAAGATTTACAATAACAATGATTAAGGGATATTACTTTTAAATAAATACATTATAGATAAGTAAAACATTAGTAGATTTTAACTAATATATCGCGTTTAAAACCGTTAAAGTGTTTTATTTAAATGTTAATGTTAAAAATTACTCGCGTTAACTATAGAAAGTATTTAATATATGTATATAACTTTTTCAATTTAGATTTAAGTGGCATATTGGTAAAGGTGATATCTAATAAGAGTCAAAAATTAAATTCATTTAGTCTTAACGATGTCGGACGAACACATCTGTGTCAAATTTTCACACGTATTAACAGATGGGTAATTAGTTTTTGTAACCTTTTGTTATGAAAATCCATACACCATTAAATATGTCCTATTTTGTATTATTGGGCTAATGAATGGGTTAGGTTCAGCTTTTATTCGATGTCGCGAAACAAAGGATCTATGTATATTGTGTGTCTGTTCCACTTTAGCACTAAAACTACTCGAGAGATTTTATTTACTAGTCGGAAAATTTTACTCTCTATTGTTATACTAAAAAAGGGCATAAGGTAGTTTATCTTTGATAAAATCGAACCATAATGATCCGACCTATTTAACCGGTAAAAATGTGTTTTAAATTGTTGTAAAGTTTACTATCTTCAGTTATAATTCGTCGTTAGATTATGGTTCTACAAATTTTACTTCTTGTTGCCTTACTATTGCTTGTATATTCATATGAAATGCCCCACATGCGTTAATTTTGACAGGTGTCAAAACTCAAACTGTCTATCAATTATTCATCGTACAGCAGTCAATCATTATAGATTTATTTGACTTCGAAATAGACATACGCTAGCATTAATAACACATATAAGAGAATGTCTTATAAGAAAACAGTTACACGATTTTCTTTTACACGTACGTATAAAATACTTAAAAAATCTATAAGATCTTTGAGGTATAAAGTATGTAGTGTAAATATACAAAATATGTATGTATGTATGTATTACTTTGTTTGTTTTCGCTTTATGAAAAAAAACGTATCTGTGGTTTTGTTTGTGGTCCATGTTTGGCGCGCTTTTGTAACAACCAAAATATATCGACCAATAAACATTTCAACGTGTCATGATATTTTGAATTGCTGTGTACAACAACCTTAATTAATTCCAGACTTTTACATTATATATAGAACAACGAATGTACACAGTTGTTGGAAACCAGCCAAGAGTACTAAAGTATTTAGTAAAGATGGCATGATTCACTTAAAGTGGCTTTTGACTAAACATATACAAAAACAATTTAAGATATAAATGGATTTCTATTAGTTTTTAAATGTGACTATATATTAATTAGACTATATAATTTAAAAAAGTAAAAAGTTGACAGGCAATAAACTTTGCTTTCGCCATCTTAAAAAAAATATTCGAATACATAAACAGGTTTTAATTGTATACTCTGTGGTGTTGATCTAAAAGTTTATAGTAAAGAAGAATTGTGACAATGATTATTTTGATTATGAGTGACATTTCTATCGCTTACCATCCGCTGCCAAACTGCGACAGCTAATTACGGAAAATACAAAAACCGTCCACAGTTCGTACCGACAGTTCATATTGATATTTCAACCGATTGGCATTTTACGTGAAAACTTTTCCGACAATTGCGATAATGTCAACAGGGGTACTATCATGGCTTGCCCGATGCGGCTGTGAAGTTCGTTCATTGATTCGCCGTATCGGCAAAGGAAACGGGCCAATTAAATATTCATCGAGTGATTGTGGGCCGAGGCGGGCGCCGGTAAACTCTCGTAGCGCGAAGCGAGGTTTTGGCGCGAAAAGCGTGTCTCTGGTTCTCGGGCAATCCGACTGCCTACTGCCAGAAATGCCCGCCCTACGGAGCTTTGTCTACGAGTGTTGTACGCTCTCGGCGCTTGCGTACTAACGTCTCGCACCGAAGAACAGAACATTACCAGTATTTGTAACAGTTTGCGTCAAATTGATATAAATGGAGACGGTTTTAATAAAGTGTAATTGACTTTTGCCGACTTTGCGTCGCATTAATTTCGGCCACGCTGAGACGCCTCGGGCAGGTGTGTTAAATACCTACGCAACTTCGCTTTTCGCTATGAATAATCGCGAATTTAAATGAATGTTAATTATGACGAGATTCCCACTAACTAGGTGAGGGATCTTGAACAAATCAGCATTGTTGAAACTTGCTGTATACAAAATATTTTGTATAGATCAACTTTTGCTTAGTCTTAGCTAGGTATCTATTACCGGCGTTAGTATTGTATTGATAAGTAGAAAAACATTCCAGAGTGCACAAAACTCGGAGATACGCGTCTAAATAATTGAGAACAGTTTACAAATTCAGGTCCCATTATGCAGAGCCGTATCGTAAATAGAAACGTGTTAACTCATCAGCGTGAAGCCGCTTTGCCCGATGCGAACGCAGCAGGTGACGCCGCGTAATAAGACAACTGTGTCTTAACTTTACTTGAATTAATGATAACGTATACAAGAACTTATATGATGAATCTAACTAGAATAATTGTATATTGAACATTCCTCTTAATTAATTTTGAACGAATTCGAATTATGATTTATGAAACATTACTTGTTACTGAAGATTGTCAATACAACAGAGTAGTTACCGAAGAATAGAATATTCAAATAATTTTTGAAAGCTTTAATATCATAATGCCATACATAGATAATAATGGATTTTGAATTTAAAAAAAATACGACTCTGTTTTCAGGATTGAAAGAATAGATTTTTATTTGTATCCTAAAATCAATTATTGGTTAATTTATTGTAGTAATGTTTAAGGTTTTTGTCCCTGTAGCTTAACTGTTATATACTGATTTTTTTTGGTATAAATAGCATAATACAAATCAAACTATAACTTTCTTAATCGATATACGAGTAGGTATAAGTACGAATACTTTCTTATTATAAATCTATTTGATTGCGTGTTATTGAAATATTCTTTTATGAATCTATTACAGCTACCAGTAGATTTGATTTATATAGATATTTTAACGTTATAAATTATGAATTTGTATGTATTTGTTATTCTTTGACATTTAAATAGTTAGTTGTTAAAAAACATATTTTTAAGACAATGGAATTCACTCGGTGTTATCTGATTAAGATAAACTGAGCCAATTTTAGCTTCAGACATTCAGAATTCCGACAAACCAGATACAAACTCGCACTACACAAGTTTTCCATCTGGACGGCGGTTAGGCCCTGACGAAATTTCGATACAACCCAAAATAAGACTAAGTTAGATGCTAAAAGGTTTAAATTCAGTGTCTTCGCTATTAAAATGGAATAGAAATAAAGTTTATTTTCATATAGCCTAATGCGTTATACTTATCATATCATTGAATAAGTTTTCGAACTCTCCATGGTAATGTGATCACGGAAAGTTTGTAGCGCGAAGCGTTACTTCGCTGGGAGTGTGGCAGGTGATAACTTTGCTTAAAATTATGACACGCTTATGTTAAATATATTATATGTATATTACCGTTTTGGATTTATTATTTTTACATGTTCGATGCTTTATGCTAAAAACAAGTTTCACGAAACTCTGAAATTTAATTAATAGGTTACTTCCTTCTTAGTTCTTATATGGTATAATTATTAAATAAAATTTAACATAGTAATAGCAAAAAACCTTTTTGAATCTTAAAAAATTATTACTTTTATACTTAATGCTCCACTATATGATAGTCGAGTTTAATTAATATAATAAATAAAACAAATTAAAAAACACTGGAAGGTTTAAAAATCAGTTAAACTTATTTGAAAATTAATTTAAGACTGTCCGTAACCACGGCCGTTATAGTTAATAATTAAATGTATACTGTATAAGTAACTACACTACGTGTAAACTACAGATAATACATATTAAGTATAAACTTATGAAGTTAATCTTCATAAGTTTATAGTTAATATGTATTAACCAAAAACTATGAATAGTTCGATGACACAAGTAGGACTCGAATCCACGACAAACAGCGCGAAAACGTAACTCTAAGATGAAAGTAAATTAGTTTTACCAAATCTTGTTTTTTTTTTGTTTTATGGTCAGGAACAGGTTTTTATATTAATATTTAGTGAATATATAATAAGGCTGAGGACTGTAGCAGACACACTTTTGTGTTTGTTTCATTGACAGATTTCATTGGCAGAAAAATTCATATATGTCCTGCCCAACTGAAACTATATATATAATCATTATCATTGTGGGCCCTAGCCTAGTCGTAGCACGGGATATATTGCCATTCGCTATATATCCCGTGCTTCCTGCTTCCAGTTTTTCACGCCCAAGATTTCCTGGTCCTTAGCAACTCCATCCCACCAGCGAAGCCTCGGTCGCCCGGGCTTTCGTTTACTACCTGTTTGCGAGTTCAGCGAGGACCTTGGTGCTCTTTTATCCGACGTATTCGGCAACTAGATAACAAATTCTTTTATGGAAGGTCAACTAATCTTATACAATGCACAGATTAAACACGCTTTCTAACTCCGGTCCGAGTCTTAAATAATTATTAAGTTACTTAAAACATTCAGGACGCAGACTGCACAATTTCGCATTTAATATTAAAAATGTCGTACAAGTTCTACCTAGTTCGACAAGAAACTATTACATTTTACTTGAAAGAACTTAAGTAAGTACTTCAAGAATGTGATTGTTGTTTTCTTTAGGAACATTCGTAGCTATAAACACTTTGTTCTTGTTTGAAATGAATATATTATATGAGGCTGCTAGAGGCAGAGTGGCCTAGTAACAAACAAATGATTTTCAATACGGAGGATAACAATAATGCGCAATTAACTTAGGCGAAAATGAATTTGTACTGTTATTTGTATAAGAATTATGTTCACAATTTTAGGTCACTGTGCTCTTCTAGGTTAGCATATACTAGACTATAAAAAAATATATTTGCGTAAATAACTCAAGTCATACAATAGTAGTTAGGCTACTCTGAATCTAGCGGCCTTTTTATATTTTTTTTACGTTTCTAGGGTTCCGTTATCAACACTAAAATATACGTTAGTAATAAGAATTGTTGATCCCTTTGTCTGGACCTCTTTAACCAGTCAAGTCAGTACACGGGCTTTACGCTGTTAATAATTTCGTTATTAGGGGTATTATGAATAGCGTTGATTAAAATCAATAATCGCGATACAATATAGGACTTCAACACAAACTCTATTGTATGGTAGGATTATGTAACATTAATTAAAAGTTATGACGGGGCGAAACATCTTATTATTAGGAGCATAATACACCGACGGAAATATTTCACTTTGTACATTTAATTTGCTTAAAATCTTAAGCAAATTAAAGATAAAGTTTTTTAAACACAAGAAAGTAATTACTTGGGGAAGATTAACAATATTACAGATACCCAGAACGGGAACCAAACCTGCAACAAATGGTACACACACAATCGGGTGAGCTTTCATTACTAAATTAGAGTGAGCTTATTTTGTTCACTTGTTGTTTTAATTTCATTTATTTTGTAGTTTGTACGTTTGCAAGTTGTTTCATAAGTCGGTGTGGAATAAATGAATTGAATTGTAAACAATTATACAATTTATACATCAACTATATTATTCAAAGCAACAAACCAACAATAACCATGGGTTATACTTCTCAACAAAGTTCGTTTGAACAAAAGTGTGTTAGTCTGGTTTGTCAGATAATTGTGTAATCAGTTAATTAAATACTGTCTATAGTTTACCGAGTAATACACATTAAATAATTTTAACGGTTAACGCGATATATTAGTTAAACTTATTTGAAAACGGGGTTTCCCCCCCCCCCCCGTTTGCGCGAGTGGTTAAAACATTTTCAAAAAGTAAATACAGTTTTTTTAAAACAATTTAACGGTTCAAAACGCGATTTATATTAGTTTAGTTAAACTTATAAGAAAATTATTTTCTGTCTCCCCGTGAGCACGGCTGCTGCGAAGCATCCGAAACGTCGGGCCGAAGTTAAAAAATAACAAATAAGTTAAACTAATATATATCGCATTTTACACCGTTAAAGTGTTTTATGCAAAACAGTTAATTGTTATCACAAAGTATTTTTAGGACTGACAAAGCACAATTTATTAGAAAAAGGTCTTAAAGATAGAGTTGTATCTCGGCATAAGATTTTCTAGACGCAATTTTTTTGTATTGTCTTTAAAATGTAATTTAGTTTCGTGTAAAGCTATAAATGTTACCACGCTAAGCCAGACTTAAATATGTGCATATTAAAAAAATATATAAAATTTTAACTAAATATTTATTTCAATTTGAAACATTTCATTCCATTTTTACAAACAGAAAGAGCACATTTGTATTCCTGTGTTTCATTGGGCAATTTTTTTAATGATAAAAAACAATTGATCATCTTTTCCCTAGATCCGAACCTAATGCGTCTCGAGCTGTAACAATGATAGCTACGAAGATGGGTGGCTAAAAAGGGGCTAAAATTCCGAGACAAATTGATAAAAGCGAGAGTGGCATGATTGCGTTACTCTCTGACGCGAAATAAAATATTGCATTGTAAACATTTAGAGAAAATCTTTTTACACGCGGCGGGAAGAACGTTAAAGTTTGTTCGTTTCAAATTCAATATATTATGGTGAGCGTGCTCTCGCTCAGCCGACACCGAAACTCACTCGAGCATTGCTCTCGGAAAATTTATTGTTTTTCTAAGAAAATTTCCTCGCACAATACTACACGTGAGCCCTTGGGAAAGCGCTGCGGCGGTCGGTGATAAGTGAGGAAAGGAAAATAGTTTTAAAAATTTTCACATGCGATTTTTCTCTAATAGTTTCCCCTCTATGAGAAACGTCGGTGGGAAACTATTACATATCTTGTATTAATTGCTTTTCAAACCAGTTAGACCAGACTTTTCTTCGTAAAATTACGAA